TGCTGGAGCGCACATGCGCAGAGCATGACAGAAGAGAATGCAGGGACTGAAAGTGAGGAACCAGGAGGGAGTCTTGTCATCTATGGTGGATGTGAGAATTCCATATGGCTTTCCAGGACACCAACATGCACAGGCCCCCCTCTCCAACCTTGTGGACCAACATTCCCTCCTCACAGAGTTCCATAGCTTCCTCTCCCAAAGGCCCTAGAACACACAATGGGGAGGAGGAAGTCAAGGGCACCCTCACACTCAAGCTCCAGATATGTGTTGCAAATAAATTGGTTCTCCTCACACTTATGATCACCTCTCCTCTCCTCCCCCTGCCCCCTGAAGCTCCCTCGCTGGAATCCTTTTCTGCCTCTGCTGTGTTTCCTAAATAAAAATGCATGATTTTTGAGCAACAGTCTCCATTAGCTGCCATCACAATGGGAATGTTGCGTTCACTGAGATCTAACCTAGTCAGTAGATGACAGAGCCTTCCCTTTAAATGCCTAAAAGCACATTCTGCACTTGCTCAGCCTGAAGTTAAATTGATCCTTACTGTGGGTTGAGGCTGCCCATGTACAACTTCATGAGTCACAGGAGCAAGGGGTGGGCTGGGGTGCCAAGGATTGCTACTGGCAATTTTCCAGTCTGGCAAAAAAGTTCCAGATTCCAGCTTGCCAAAGAAGCAGGAGTCTTAAACATGCACCTTTCCAAACCATTCCATATTGATGTCCGAGAAATGATCTCTGTGAGCCACCTGCGTCTGCGGCACCATCGAGAAGTACCCATTGCCGTTTATGGACTCCTTGGAAAAATGGTTGAGTGCCAATTGGGGATATGCTTTCCACCTATTTTCCCACCACCATTAGGTATCCCCAGCATAGCAAAGCCCTCCATTTTATGTTTTCCATGTTTCTCAGAGTCACTACCCTCCGTAGCACAAGGGTATTGATTACCTTGGGTACTTGGATTACAATGGCTCCCGCTGTAGATTTCCCTACTATGAATTGATTCCCAACTGTCAGGCTTCCACAGGGCAATTGAGAACAGGTTCTCTTTCTGGCATTTTTGTGTTTCAGAGCAGGGGAAAAGGAATTTGAAAACTTCCATGAAAATGGCCGCCTCCATACAGAAGTTTTGCAGTCACTGCTGATTTTCCCATGCCTGCATCACAATGCAGTCCCACCAATCTATGCTTGTTTGACAGCACCAGAACCAGTGCTCCACTGTGTCCAGAGAATTAAATGCCAGAAGCATTTGCCTGTCACTCAAGTGCTTTGCAGAAAAGTATGTTCACAACCTTCCAAGATTCGTCCTCATTCCGGCGGACCCTGGATATACTCTGGACATACTCCAGCTTTAGGTGCACCATGGTTAATAAGATCATAATGCTTTGATGCTCAACGGGATCCACAATGGGGTCCATGCTTACGCTGCTATGGCATCTCCATGAATAGCTAAGGGGGGGAAACATGCAAAAAGACTTGTTGGCCATTGCTCTGAAGTGGGGGTAGAGTGGGAAGGAGGAAATTATTGCATTATGGAATGCTGACTAAATACCTAGAACCACCCACTGCAGTTTTGGTCCCAGCCAAAAGGGGCACAGGCACTGTGGGATAGCTACCCATAATCAATCGCTCTCAAAGTAAAAAATGTTAGCCACTTTACTGGGGATGCATTTGAACTACTTTGCATTCTTGCGCACAGTGCTTACCAAATCAGGTGCTAAAAAAAATTTGATCTTAATAAATTTGATCTTATCTCTGTGTAGACATGGCCTGAGACAAAACTACAGGTTCAACAAAACTCAAAGGCCTATGTAAATCTAATCACGTGAATTGTCCCATTCACTTCAAAGGCACTACTTGCATGTATGTGTCCTTTTTAAAATCCTTTGTTGAATTGGCCCAAGTGAGAGGTCCCTGAACTCTGGGGTTCTCTGGGGAACTATGTTGCTGTAGAGCAAAGAGGTTAGGGCCAGCTCCCACAGGGGACAGGGAGAAGGAGCATCACCCAGCCCTCTCTGTTCCCAGTTCTTCCCTAGTCTAGTCCACAGCCCTTTACCCAGCCTCACCCCCTAACTGTGACCTGACTGCAACTCTTTACTTTGACCTCAGCCCCTGCTAGCGGCTCTGTTCCCAACTCTGCTGCCAGACCCAGCTGTGGTCCTAGCTATATCCCCCTTTACCACTGTACATGTCCCTGCTCCCAGTAGCCCTGCTTCCAGTCCTGGCTGGAGGCAGCAGTACATGACCCTGAAAAGTTTGGGGACCACTTGGCTAAGTGACTGCCCCACGGCCACACTGGAAACCTGTCAGTGTGTCATTACCCTCCCTTATGAGTCAAGTCATTTGATCCCTCACCTCTGTGACAAAATGAGGATAATGGTATTTGCCCAGCTTTGAAAAGTGCTTTGTAAGCTACTCCGTGAAAAAGCCCTGAATTAAGTGACTGTTTTTATACTATCGTAGTCTGAGGTATGGGGGGAGTAATGGAGCAGGGAAGGAATGTCAGGTTCTTTCTGCCTTATCAGAGTGGTAGTGCTGGGCAAGCTGAAGGGGGAGTTTTGGTAATATTTGATAAGTAGCCCTCCAGTCCAGGACTTTCCTCATGAAGCATGTCTTCTATGGCCTTCTGGATTTCCCTGGTGAGTCTGCTGTTGGTAGTCTGTATTTTGATATTCTATTTAAATTGGATTCCATTAGATAATTTATTCCTCTTTTTTTCTTTTTAATTTCACATGAGTAAATACGTTTTTTCATAATCTGGAAGTATTTTATTAATTTCCTCTGGAAAGGAAACAGTCAACGTTGGCTCATTTTAGAGAGAGGATATGATTCCAAGGGTTTGCTCTGAATATTTCTTTATCAGCTTTGCTATTACCTTTCCTGCTTTATCTCCAGTGTTCATATATTGACTGCATAGAATTGGGTAATGCTTTTTACATGGTTATTTTTAATTTGTTATGCTCTGTTCGATTTTTCTAGTGCTAATAACAATTAATACTACACTTTCTCTTTCCCACCCAAACTCCTAATCTCTTTATATTTTAATCCTTTCTGCCCAATAGTGTAGTTTTCTTAGAAAATGTCATTGAACTCTTGGAAAACTGATGGGTTGATACTTTATTCAGAGTTAAAACTGTAGCACTTTTCTGTCTTTTTTGAAATACAATCATCCCAATTGCATTTTTTTTTTTAAAGGAATGGGATTACAAAAAATAAAACAAACCTACTTTTGTATATTTTCCTGGTTTTTTTTCTTTATAATCAGACCTACTTTCTCTCTGTAACTTTTCTCCCACAGCAATACACTACAAAAACTCTTAAAAAACAAGAAGGTAGTCCTGTAGCACCTTATAGACTAACAAAAGATATAGATAGTATCATGAGCTTTCGTGGGTACAACCCACTTTTTCAGATGACTATCTATATTTTGTATTAGTCTCTAAGGGTGCATCTACACAGCACAGTTATTTTGAAATAATAATCCGAGCGTCTACACAGCAATTCCGTTATTTCAAAATAATTTTGAAATAACGGACGCCTTATTTTGAAATCTGTAAACCTTATTCCACGAGGAATAACACTTATTCCAAAATAGCTATTCCAGAATAGGGGTAGTGTGGATGCTCCACTGCTGCTATTTTGAAATAGCTTCTCCCCAGGGCCATTCAAAATACAGTAAAACTTCAATAGTCCGGCATCCAATAGTCCGGCACTCCTGATAGTCTGGCATCAAAATGGCAAGAGCCTAGTGAGTGAGCTTCAGCAAAAAAAGAGTCACAAGGTAACAGCGGCAGCACCTGCACTGAGCAAAAAGGGTAAATAAGGCTTAAAAAACTAAAACATTACAGAATACAGTATGTACAATAAAAAGGGTTAAGAACACTATATACAGTGTATATATATAACCTGTTTATAGTACCTCCTGATAGTCCGGCATATCTGATAATCCGGCACTACCTAAGTCCCATAGGTTCCGGATTATCGGAAGTCTACTGTAATTACTCCCCAGTGCCTCCTGGGGCTCTAATTCAAGGTTGCACATCCACATTAAGGAAGCCTGTCTCCGTCTAATTTTGAGGCTTCCCTGTAGCGTAGACATGCTATTTTGAAATAAACAATTTTTGAAAAAAAATCCAAAATAGCTTATTTTAAAATAAGCATGCTGTATAGGCATACCCTTAGGTGCTACAGGGCCACTCTTTTTAAAGCTTTTTTTTAACACAGCTGCCTATCTGAAACAGTAATACACTAAGGGTCTACGGTACAAAGAACATGCAAGCTGCTGTCGTTGGTCTTCTAGAGTTCAAATTAGCGAGTCTAGAGAAGACACACTAATTCAAACTGAGAGGGGCATTCCGGTCAATGCCAACAGTCCTGCTTCCGCAAGGAGTAAGGGAAGTCGAAAAGAGAGTGTTCTCCCTTCAACTTCCTTCAGCGTGGACAGCGCCAAAAGTCGAGTTAAGGTACTTCGACTTCAGCTACGCAATTAACATAGCTGAAGTTGTGTATCTTAAATTCGACCTTATCCCATAGTGTAAACATACCGTAAGGCAGTGGTGGGTAACCTGCAGCCCAAGAATCACATGTGGTCCATTGAGTTTCTGTGTGTGATCCACAAGACATTTTGTTTACTGTTGCCTACAAACAGGGATGCCAGATTTTGCTGGTTTTTGTCTGCAGAGGTTTTTTTCTACCAGTACTACAAAAGTGACATGCACATAAAGCAAAGGCATGTGAAGTGAGGTGCGTGCTCATTGCATGCAACATTTTGAAAGCCATGCACTGCTCCTGCATCCAATCAAAGTGCTCCTACCATTCATTTGGTGCACTCTGCATATTCTAAATACACAAGCGCAGCTAGCAAAACAACCTATTCTGGGAGACTCTTGGATACAACAATCTGGCAGCCCACCGAGATGGAGGGCCATTCATGCAGCCCACTCACTAGCCTAGATTGCTCCTCACTGCTCTAATACCTGCTTCAGAAAAGAATCCCTATTCAGGACAGCACTTAAACATGTCAGTGGCACTTAAGTATATATTTATCTTTAAAGACATGATTAAGTGCTATCCTGAATTGGGTCCTAAGCCAGTAAGACTCTGATTCTGCAAAGAGTGACACAAATGCTTAACTTTGAGAAGGTATACTCATACTTAAGATTGTATGTGTGCTAGTCTTCTAAGGATTAGGGCATACAGGCCCTAAAATAGCTGCCTATATTCTTAATAACGATAGTTTTTAGAAAATGGTAAAAGTACATGTGTGTAGATAATGTGTAACTTTATTATGTACAGTTTTATTATATATCATACCAAGGTTAAGTTTGGAGTTTTTGTTCAGAATCCTCATTATCAGCCAACTGTATTTTGAGCCGACATTTATGCTTTGTTTCATCCAAAAGATTAACACAAATCTTGATTATTATCAGTGGCACTGGTTCAGAGTAATGCATAAGCAAGGAGTAGGGGATGTGAAAGCACTCAGAGCACAAGCCTAATTTATACTTCAGTTAGATCGCAGTTAGGTTAACACAGAAAGCTTTTGAAAGTCTAATGCTATATGTTTTATGTATTTAAGTAAACATTCAATTGTTTCTTTGCACTAAGAATACTACACAGATTTATGCACAAGTTTGAAAATGTTGTCCTCTTCAGAGCAGTTTAAATTGATTCTGTTCTAATATTTAATGTGAACATTTGTTGTGCATGATTAAACTTTCATCCTTTAAAATGCTTCTTTATTTAGGCCCTGATTCAGCAAAGCACTTGAGCAGTCCACTTGACATTAGTGGAACCATTCATGCTTAATGTTTAGCACCTGCAAAGGTGATTTGCTGAATAAAGCCCTTCATAATGCTCATACTTTCTCTTTCTCTCTCGTTTACAATTCTGGTGTTGGGACAGGGGTAAGTGTCTTGTAATATTTAGCAACCCTTTATTCTTGCTTAGTTAGAACTGGACCAGTTCTGGGTAAAGGATTTACTTTTGTTAGAATGCAGGTTTCCATAAACTGAACTCTTCATATTCCTCACCCTATAGAGGATGATCACTATGGTTGAAGGAACTGAGACAAAAGGCTTGATAGATTCACATTCAGTATGAGTTTTTTCTGTGCACGTCATTTATAGTATTAATACTGCATTGTGAAAACTCAAACATATAAAGAAAATGTTTGTTAGATTAACAATGTATGTCATTAGCAAGCAAAACTTGGAAGTACTGGAGCCTAATATAAAAATATGTATTTATTAGCATGATTACAAAAGAAAGCAACCTCCAGAACCTATAGGACTGTCATGATCACACATGGTAAAATGACTGATACTACATGATGCTGGATTTCTCTGATCATGTAGAATGTTCACATTTACTCTTTTGAATGCTACTAATGCTCTAATCAAAATATGAATCAGAGCTACAAGAACCCATTCTGTGCTGAGAACATGTACACTTTGAACCATCATGTTGGGATATTTCTGACTTGTATACATCTGATGAAGAATCATCAGAAGGACTTGAGTTACTATAACATCCATCTTGAAATGAACAATTTGAATGAGTTGCATGACATTTTTTAAATCTTGATCTATGTTTGTCATGCCTAGACGATCGTTGATGGTTTAAATGCTTTCTATGAAGAGCAAGATCTTTATCCTTTAGTCTTTTATAACCATGTTCTTTTGGGTTTGTATAACAGTGTCTTGATTTGTGACAACACTGATTTGTTTTTAAAGTTCTAGGTTTGTGGTTCTTGCATGTTTTTATTTCTGAAGATGAACAGTTGGCAGGGGGCATTTGTGAAGAGTGTTTACATTTTGAAGCTAATGGAATAATATTTTTTTCATCAGTCCGTTTTGATGGTGAGTTCATGGAGGTAGGATTATGCCCTGGTTGTTTTTCTGAAGGTTCTAAATCTTTACCCTGTTTTTTAGATTCCTCTGTTGATAAATGAACTGGTAGTTGATTCCAGTTACTGTGTTCAGAATGATTTTTCACTACAGTAGTGTCTTCTTTCAGTCCTTTGCAATCTATTTCTGGGATTGTTTTGGCTTTATCTTTTGTCAGGTCTTCTCTTTTGTAAATGTTGTATGTATTAGTTATTACCGGTTCCCTACAATAATAAAAAAAGTTCAGAAAGCAACATATGTTTTATAAATTTGAATAATTTAAAAATGATCTTACAGCAAAAACCTAATTTACACTCTGTCTTTTTACTTGGATAAATTAATACTTTGTGTTCCAGAATTCAAAAAGCAGTTGTGTGTATTTAGCCATAACATCTTAATTATTTGATAGCAATGATGTACTATATAATGGGGGAAGAAACAACAACTCACTGTTTGTTCTTCACAAATATCGAAGTAAATATGTGCATGAACACTATTACAGCCAATATCAAACCAGTAACGGCTACACAGGCTATGATAATGTGCTTTAGAAGGCCTTTAAGATCTGCAGCTTTTGCTTTTTTCTTGTCATGAATACCTAAAGGAAATTAGAGGGAAAAAATGTGTAGTATTAGTAAGTTCACAATTCCACATTAGAGGGGAAAAAATGTGTAGTATTAGTAAGTTAACAATGTATTCTAAACATTGCTGCAAATCATACTGAAATATTTTTCTCCTTTTGTAATTTCTTTCCATTAGTAAAACCAGTGTTTAATGCAAAAATTTAAGTAGCACTGAGGCAAACTCTTTAAAATCATGCAACTTTGAGATATATAATTAAAAACAGCTGTTTGGTGTATTTTCTTGACTTGCTCTTATAGCTTTGCTAATGTAAATATTTTGTATAGCTCAACTGGTAAGAATGCACCTACATTCCCTCTCATCTCTTCTCCCTTTTTAGTCACTCAGATGAGCGAATAGACAAGCATGCATAAGAACCACAGTCCTCTTTCCTTCATTTATGTTGATAAAAGCTAGTGAGGATTACAGGATTGGTCCTTAAATGTCAACAAAAGTGAACTGTAATTTCAATATTTATGGAAGGCTGTAAAAGTTTTATCATTTATTTAAACCCAACTCTGAATTTATGGGTTTACCTTGTTGGACCAATTTTAAATACAAATTATCTGTGTCTTAAAATTTTGCTGTCCTGTAATCCATCCAAACTAAGGACCATTTCAAACGCTGCTTTGTATATCAACTCAACAGTGACTTAAATAGTGGAGTAAATTAGCTGTCAGGTCCGAGAGGTAAAATATTGTAATTTGCACTGATGTGACATTTTGGCCCTGATTCATCAAGATACTCTTACCCATGTACCTAACCTTAAGTTTATAAACTCCTGAAACTACTCATGCTTACAGTACTACATGTACTTAAGAACCTGGATTAATGAGATCTAAATGTCAAAACAGTACAATTTTTAAACTTCCTCTTGTACCTGGAATACATTTTACACCACTAATTAAAGTGTAAAAAGGATATTGAATCTGACCTGTAATTGGGATTACTCGTATGCTGAAAATTAGGTAGTCACTGATTTGGTGTTCTACTAGGATCAAATCCAAGGCTGGCATAAGTGGATACAACTTGTGTGGAACTTAATGGTAGCTGCACCGGATTATGCTGGGCCTGGCTTTCTCCCAAATGTGTTGAGGAGTGTGTGGATGTAAATTAGAATGTTGCGGGGGAGGTAGGAGTGGGAGGACAGCTTTCATTTCTCTGCTTATTATAACACTCTCCCACTCCATCAGCATGAAGTTGCACTTGTTTTGCATACCCATGAAAGCCAAACATGCAAAATTCACTTTTTTTTAGGCCTTAAACATGTTTAATTTAATGCACTCTTTAAATATCAGCTTTAATGGGAAAGTTACCACCATTTACTTCAACTTCAGTTTGGTCCTCCATTTCACTCCAAATACTTTTAAACCTTGTTTATGTGAGATCTAGAACAGGACTCTCTGGTCACTCCTCCATACGTGCCTCTGTCATGCAATAACTACTACTCCTAACTCTCCTGCTCGTGTAATCGAAATGCATAGAAATGTTTTAATAACTGAGATGAGGGAGTGAATAAATGTTGATGCTTAATAAATTTTTAACAGCAACAAGCTATAATTTAAAATGTCTGACCCTACTGTAAATGAGGGAACCCTTTTATTGCTTTCAAAGAGTAAGATCTAAGGAAAGAAATTTGACTTTGTCAAGCAGCCCTCGCTCCATGCCTATTTGCTTCTATGTTGTGTCTCTTGATACCCCTCCACATACACACTGATTTTCATGCATTTCTTTTCCCCACCCCTTTTTCCTGCTCGTGTCTCTGTTTTATCCTGCCTCCTGTCTCCTCTGCCTCTTCTAGCATGTCCACTCTTCATCTCTCTTCCTTTTTGTTTTTTGGGGTGTTTTTTTGTTGAGAAGGAGGAAAGCAAGAGATGTCTTGTTGGATCCAATTTCAATATTTTACTTAATCTCTCTACCCTTAATGTAATTCACTGTGATGATCTCCCTTTCAAAGCCAGGCAATGCTGCTCCTTCAGCTGAGATGAGATTGTCCCTAGAGAGATGATTATCTTCCCTCAGGGATAAGCCTATGTGTACTGCTTCTGCAGTAATCTGACCTTGGACTCAGATGCTCTGCCAGTAAACATTTGGCTTCCGAGTGAAGTTCTGGAAGCTCAGAAAAAATGGTATGCACAGAAGCTGAACACGTGTTATACTAAATCTAGCCCATAGAAACAGCACCCTTAATTCTGGCAACCTAATCTGCAGCCACAGTACTCTGGAATCCAATGCCAGCTTTTATACTAGTACGTTAGTGGGTTTTAGCATGAGATGCATGCTAATGTAAAGCAAAGACTCAGTGCAGTGGAAAGAGAAACTGCCATCTGCAGTACTGCTGCTGAACTCCATCTGATTGTCTCCAACAAATGCCTCGAATAGCCCCTTCTTCCTGTGGTTTAGGGGCTAGGAATCACAAGCTGTAGGTTTTCAACTGGATGACTGGCTGCTTGAGGAAAATAATACATCCACACACTTTTATTTGTTGCATTCATGTTAAAAATAGCAATACTGCATTTATCTGTGGAATCAAGTTCAGCTGACAGATAAAGTCATGCTAACCTAGAGCTTTATTGGCAAGCTATGTCAATTATTTTCTTGTGACTTGTTTGATGAATTCTGAAACCAAAGCCAAGCAGCATGAGTAAAAAATTAAATTTAGGGCATAAGTAGACCATTGTTTTATATCGTATTTAGTTCTGATTTCTCATGTCTCACTTTATTAGATGCTTTTATTGTAAACCAAGCAGCCCAACAACAACAAAATCTGCCCTTTTAATTTTGTAATTGAGGTCTATGCAAACAAATTGCCATAGCCAGAGAAAAATGTTTGCTCTCTTTCAGCTGAACACACACAATACATTTTAGCTGAATAAAACCCAACTGAAAGGCATAAATCAAGAGTTTAAAAATAGCAGTAGCTTACTAAGTCAATAAATATAGGACAACAAAGCTGAAATTATACCTCTGTTGCATTAGGTAAGACTCAGTTTAACAAAACTACAGTTCATTTTGTTGAGATGGGTAGGAAGAGCCAACTGGTATTTTATCTGTGTGCCTATGAGAAAATCTTGTCTTAATGCAGTCTTATTTACCAAAAATAAGTAACAACCAATATTTACCTTCATGCTCTTTAAAAAATTCATATCGTTGGGCATTCTTCATGTTTGTCTTTGCTCTGACACTTGTAGGCTCTGTTTGGGGTGGGGGGAAGAGTAAATTGTGTAACTTAATCAGCATTAAGGCAAATTGTGGCTTCTCAGCAATCACTTACTCTGGCAACAACTGTGACATGCTAACAGGGTAAATGTAGAGATGTGGTGAGCCAATATAGGCATTTCTAATGCACCTATGGCAGTGATAGCTAGATACTAAAGTCAGAGGAAGATAAACGTAGAAAAGCTTTTTCTGATTTATTCTAAAAAATTTGACATTTACTAATGTTTTAAAGCTTGGGCTCTAACACTGTGTACACATGCAGGGGCAGTCACATATCTAACTACCTACTCTGTGAAACTTTCAGGTACAACTTTGGAGCTCATTTTGAGGCTAGCACAGACTATGACCCCTAATGTTTGGGCATAGTCTCCTGTAGTTTCATATAAAATCAGTATGAGGTATGTAGGCACTGGTTTATTCAGTAGGAAACTGATGTGAAAAGCCATTTAGCTAAGAGATAAAACTGGAGAAATTACGTACAGCAGACATTTTGATTTGCTACTCCATTTTATAATGAATGGATATTACCTGGCATAGGTGTGGATTGTTCTATATTTTCATCAGAGACTTGTAGACTGCGACTATGTCCCTGAAAAGGGGTCTGTGTCTTGTTTTCCTTGACCCTGGATTCTGACTTCTCTTTAATAAGAGAAAATAACAAAAGACATTTTAAAATTAATTGTCTTTTCTAGCTAATTATGAGCATCATGATGATGTAATAATTCTCAACATTTTAAAAGTTAAAGATTGTTTGTATCTTTGTGAGTGAATAGTCTCACCCATCCATCCTCAAAAAAACAAACAAGCAAAGCAAACCCACCACCCCCATTTTTCTGTGGAAAATTAAAATACATAATAGTTTTCAAAATCCAGTAAACTGATGTAAACCAGACTTATTGCATGACTCATAAATTGCACATTTTTATTTACATTCTAGCATTCCAATTACTGCATTTTTACCAAATCACAGTAAGAAGCTGAATATTTTAGTAACAAAAACGCCACCCCACAATTTTGTAGAAGCAAGACCTATCATGTAGACTCCTTGCATTATAGGCACAGTATCCAGATAGAAAATGGACTGAGCTAAACCACCTCTAACATATATTGTGGTCCAACCAAGCAAATGCTTATCGGATAGTCAACACACTAGTTGACTAGTTGTCATCCTCCTCCCCCCCCACCCGCCCTGCTGCCTCTATCAGAAAGAGGCAGCTATTGTGGTCCAACCAAGCAAATGCTTATCGGATAGTCAACACACTAGTTGACTAGTCGTCATCCTCCTTCCCCCCCACCCGCCCTGGTGCCTCTATCAGAAAGAGGCAGCAGGGGTGGTGAACGAGGAAGGAGTGTTTCAAAACATCAGTGCTGCAAGGAGCCTGGGGCCCTGGGACTGTTGCTACACTTTCAAGGCGGAGGCGCCCTTATCAACTAATTGAATAGTTGATGCAAACTGCATTGACTATTCGATTACCCAATTAATCTAAATTTAACATCCCTAGTATGGTAAAATATTTTAAAGTGTTTTATTTTATATTTCAGTTTGTATCTCATAGTATTGATGTATCGAAAAGGAAATGGATAATTGAAACATTGGCTCATAACATATTACATCAGTATCACTATTGATGCAAAACTATTGGTCACAAGTCAAAATACAAAACATTTGTCATGTAACTGGACAATTTCTAGCAGCTAATGCAATATTCAGCACAAAGCTAGCAAGGTGTCAGAACCAGCTCCCACCACCAACTGCCATGTGCCGACCAGGACAAAAATAGGCTAGGGAGACATGTGACATTATAAAAGAGCAGTGAGGAAGAACTAGAGTCGAGAGGAAGGGTCTCATAGAAAAGGTTCTAAAGACCTAGTAGACCATTATTATTGCATGCTCAAGAGGCTTCAACCCCCTTGTATGCTAAGCTTTGTATAAACAGGTATTAAATGACAGTACCTGCTCCACAATCTACAAAAAAAAAAAAAAAAAAAAAAAAAGATGGAGCACGTGGATGGAACAAACAAATGAGGTAGGGGATTGGAGCAAGGTGAGGGCGGGGAGCAAAATAAGGTGGTTTGATATGTGGAATTCTCAGTCTTAGTTATCAAATAGCCGCAGCAGTGATCACATTGTACTGGCCAGCAAATATCCCCTTCCCTGAAAAGGAGTTTAAACAGCAATATAACCTATGTATGGACAGTGGGCATCATTTAAAAGCTTTCTGTTTGCCAACCTGTACTTTACCACAGTGCATTCCTAAAGCACCTGTCACTTATATAGTTATTTCTTTTTATTGGCAGCCACTGTATTGTTTCCACATGTCTATAATTTTCCAAACTATGGCATCCCAAATAGGCTGGGAACAAGAAGAAAGAATGGATGGATGCATGCAAGAGAGCACAAACTGATCTTTAGCAGTGTGACGTACAAATTACTTAGAATGTTCTACGTGGGAAAATCCCATGAACAGTTTTTTTAAAAAACACTTGCAAACTGCAAACAAAGTTAAGCCCTTATATGGTATGTAAGCTTCTCTGGGTACCCGAAATCATAGGAATGGGAACACAGTCACCATCACTGTATGAGGAACCTGAGAGGAAGAGAGGGAAGATGAATAGCATTAAGTTAGGAAACAGGCTATTCTAAACCTGGATTCCCTTAACTGCACTGGAAACAGCAGTGTCTAACAAAATGCCAAGTGGCACATTTATCAAAATCAGTCTGATGGTCTGGTCTCTGTTCCAGGCATGGAAGTAAAATCAAATCTTTCTCTGGTAAAGCTTCACTAAGCAATTAAAGTAAGTGAAATCTAGCTTTTTATCATGCAATTAATGAATTTGCAGGCTTCAGTAGATGATGGTTGCATATGAAGGAAACTGTTATTGCGCATGCCAAGTAGCAGACTTGCAAGTATTAAAAGAGAAACAGTTTTGTTCCAAAGCACCAGAATATCTTGAATGCTCCTGAATTGTTTTCCTCTGTACAACTGATACCGTAACATTTCATTAAATCTTCAATTTGGTCTTTAGCACATCTAGAGCTTCTCAGGTGAATAAAAGAAGTGAGAATATGTTTTGTACTTGAGTTACGCATATCACTTCCTGATAATTTTTTCTCTGAGTTCATTTTACAGGATCCAGGTTCTTTGGGGATAGAGGGACAGGAACAGAAAGTACTTTGCAAGCACACCAGTTACTCACATTGTAGGAGTGAAAACAAACCCAAGAACATTGGTCAGTCATTTCTATGGGTATCTACTATATGTGCATAGGGTAATACGCCAAAAGTGTATCACCACACAATAGGTCATTGTCATCTTATGAGTGCATAAAATGTAGCAGGTTATAATCTCTAACAAGCTTAGCAAAAACTACTATGGTTGCTCAGTATGAAATTCTCAAACACTCAGAATTTGGCCAAATCCAAAACTGTTTCCTCCAGAGCAGTGGTTCTCAAACAGTCTGTGGCCACCTTGGAGGAGGGAACGCAGCTTAAACTCAGCCCCACTCCCTGCAGGATCTGGCTCGTGGGGAAGAAGCACATCCAGAAGCGGCTCCATATGCTGCCACTCACCCTGGCTGGAGGAACAGCACCACATGGACACACTATACTTGGAGATTTTCCCAACTGCTCCCATTGGCCAGGATCCAGTCAATGGGAGCAGCGGGAGGCCGTGCCTGCATTGAGATGCCTAGGATCGGGGGGTGAGGGTGCAAAAGAAGGTAAGTATCCCCCCTTCCCCTCATGCCCAAACCCTGCACCCTTAGCCTGCTCTTTTACCCTACCTCTAGCCAGGCACCCTACCCCAGCCTGCTCCTGCATCCTCTCTCCTGGCCAGACTCTGCATCCACCCTTGCTCCTGTCCCCTCCCTGTGGTCAGACACCTACTCCCGGCCTGCTCCTGCACCCTACCTCCTTATCCATACCTTGCATCTTCACCCCCTCCTACACTTCACCTCCTGCCTAGATCCTGCACTCCCATGCCTATCCCACTCACTGGCGTATTCTGTCCTGCACATTGAACCCCTCATTTTTGGCCCTACCCCAAAGATTAGAGACATCCACAAAATGCACATACCCTGGAACCTCAGAAGAGTTAATGTGGCCTGGAACCTCAGTCCTCCCTGTGTTCCCTGGAGCACCAGGGGAGTGAGGTGTTTCAGCTGGGGCCACATCAGTGAGGGTTGTAGTTTTTTAGAGGGTTTTTGTGTATGTGCACTTCTCACTTGTGTGGTCCCCAGCTGATTTTTCTGTGGGTCAGTGGCCCGTGACCCAAAAAAAGTTTTGGATCCCTGACATAAATACAATGTTGAAACCTTCTACTTTATATAAAATGAAGTTTGGTAAGCTAACATGAGGAAGTTAAAGTGTTTAATCAGTTTAATAATTTTGACTAATATTTCCTTTCTTACTAGTTAAATTAAACCATTCTAACTAGCTGCAGCACTAGCAAAATGGCTTAGGCATAATTATGTAATTAGTGGCGAGTTTCTATTAGCAACAGGTGGTCCATGGAAAGTTTTACATTGAGTGGGGTGGGCCATGGGCCAAAAAGTTTGAAACTGCTCCAGAGTAAGTCCACATATGTGCTACTTGTCAATGAGGATTAATTTCATGACAAACGGCAGTATTTAAAGCACCATGTTTTTGACTGTTAGGTAGTGAAGACAAAAGTTGTAAGAATTTCAAAGTAAGAAAACTGTGCTTGCCTCCTTCTTTCACTTAAAGAAAAAACAATAGCTGGATTATTTTTGCTCAAAGTAACCAAAAAGGATTCACCTTTCGGAACAACCAACTGTGGAAAACATGAGCCACACAGAGGCTTAATGTGCCAGAAATAACTGAAAACAGGATGTTGTCAGGGCAAGTTTAATACATTTTTAAAGCCTGGGCCCAGGACCCATGTGCAGGAATCCTGTTATGACAACAGAATCCCAGCTTGGTTCATGTTTTTTCTTCAAAAAAGTAACAGCTAGCCCTCCTGCTTCCAAAGAAAAAAGAAACATATCCCACATGTAACCAATGCCTGCCTGAGTAAGATCACAGCTCAGAACAATAGCTTAAGGAGTGGGAACTACCTTAGCTAGTTCAGGTCTGTCTCTAGACTGAACAAAAAACCCCCACTGCAGCAAGTCTCAAAGTCTAGGTACAACTGACTGAGGCTTACCAGGGCTGGGCTGTGGGGCTGAGAATTGCAGATGCTCAGGCTTAGGTTGGAACTGGGATTGCCAGTATGGAGTTTCAGAGCCTGACTTCCAGCCTAAGCATTTATTCCGCCCAAGCCCCACTAGTCTGAGTCAGAATATCCAGGCCAGCTATAGCTTTTCCATGGGTCTTTTATTGCAGTGTAGTGTGTAACTGCAGATTGAACTGACATATGTGAGGTAGTGTTTCACTAGTTCAGGGCTTGAGCTAGCTAGAGTAACTGACAGCACGGGCTTCAGCACAAGCTCACCTTGTGCGTAATTACATAGCCTTCTAGATTGGTATAAAAAGCTTATTCTGTTGCAGCCTCCCTGATCTAGGACCTGAATTCACTAGAGTAAATCTGACGCAGACACATTTGCTTGAGCTGCAATTGCAACCAGTGCCTGCAGTCTAGACACAGCTCCCCTTCAGACTAGGGAGACCATCCTCAAAA